CATAAAGGTTGGAACACATTAGTGAGAGAGGTTTAATTGAGTAAGTAACAAAATGCTTAGAGGGGGGATAGAATTGAGAAACTAGAATTTAGAGGTTTATTGAGTTAAGTAATCAAACCTCAATATGTATGTAGTAAACAACTTATTGACTTTAATTTTAGAGTTTATAAACTACTTTGATCAGCTTATAAGCTTAGACAAACAACATCTTATTTCAATATTTTTTTGCACTTCAATACTTTAAATAAGCTCATAAATAATTTAGAATTGCAATCAACAAGGGAGAATTTGTGGAAAAAGTTTTTCGGAAGTCTTTTTGGAAGTGGGTGAGTAAATTTTCTCTCGGAAAATCACATGCATGCAGATGATGCGTGGTTCTGCACATCTTTATCGAAGAAATGCGGCTGAGCTGATGTCATTTCAAATAGGTTCTACTTTATACAGATGGCTTCAATGTTTGTTCCGTTGCTGTATTACTATTACTTATATATTATTGAATATTGTTTTCCATTCTCTTTTTTTTTTTTTTTAAACAAGTATACATTTTAAATGATAAACCTCATTATAAAATAGTACATACTTTCTCGGCTCGGCTCAACTCGGTAAAAGTTTCGTTTAGAGTTCGGCTTGATAAGGCTCAACTCGAACTCAGTTTGTTAACTGGAGTCGAGTTCGAACACAGTGAAGCTCAGCTTATGGGCTAATGACCTAGCCCGGCTAGTGGGCTCGCGAGCCGGCTCGACTCGTGTAAGCACTGTACACTTACGCATGGTACTTTGGTGATTTTTAAAACTATTAGGTATTAAACTGATATTTTTTCAGTGTAAAAGTTTTAAAAAATGACAGTTCCCCCCCCCCCCCCCCCCCCCCCCCCCCCAAAAAAGTGCAAATTCTTATAACACGATACACCAAAATACCAAGTCAATTTCAGTTCCCAATCCAGTTGCCCTAAATCCCAATTCTCAATTTCTTCAAAACCAACCCCAAATCAAGACCCACCTCGCCTTGGCACACTCTTTCCAAAAGAATCGCCACTCTTCTTGGCATCTCTCTCCCCTATCAATTCCATTAATCAACCCGAACTCTTATTGATTCTGATTTCAGGACTTTTCGTTTCACAAGAAGAAAACAACATACAGAGTCTTCACCTGATGGTCCTGTCGATGAAATTTTACAAATTGCAAGGAATTTACCGGAGAATTCCACGTTAGGTGAAGTCTTAGGGGGTTATGAGGGAAGAGTTAGTAAAAGAGTATGTTCAAATGTTGGGGTTGATGGCAGAGGAAGGTCTTTTGATGAGTTGCTTGTATTTTATGAATGGATGAATTGCAGGAACCTTCACTTGAGTCCCAGGGCTTGTATGTTTTTGTTCCAATATTGGGGAGGTTGAAGGGGAGACCTCTTAATGATTTGTTTAAGAATTTGCCTCAGCAAGGAATTTAAGACGCTTGAAATGGTGGTTTGATCGAGCCTTATCGAGCTCGAGCTCGCGAGCCGGCTCAAGCTCGACTCCAACTCGACCGAGCTCGTTTCGAGTCTCAATTTTAAGGCTCGCCAGGCTCGAGCTTGACACTGTTGCAAACGGCTAGCTCGATAAGCCAAAGTTCAGCTCGACTCGACTTGTTTACAGCCCTAAACTCACCATAAGATTTGAACTGACAGTATGAACATTGACGATAGGAAATCCATGAAAAACGTCAATAGCAGGTATTGGTAAATAAACAATTTATTGAATAAGTTGTACGTTTCATGTCAATAAGGCATGTTTCTTCAATAAACTTAATACAATCAACATTGACATCTTCAAAGCATATTTTTAGCAATAACGGTTTCGAGTGTCAATTCCATTTGTTTTAAGTGTAAAAGATAAAAAATAAAAATCTATTCTAATTTCTTTTTCTTAAGTAAATCCAAAGAACATCAAAATTAAATGTTGAGGATCTTTTTCAGAGCCCTTACCAGCCCGCTAATCTGGCCATAACACCCAAGCTATGGCTCAATTAATGCATGGCATGCAGCTTGACTGATTAATTACTCTTAGATAAAGAAGCTAAACACACACACACACAACACACACAGAGTATAGTAAATTCGTGAACAACCGTATTTTATAAACCCAGTCATATTATTCATAATTATATGTCCAATCATATTATTCACGAATTATTTTTGTATTCAAATTTTTACCAAATTTTTATAATCGTATTTTTTACTATTTTTCGTATCAATTCATAAAATTTTCATACTTATATTATTTAAAATGTTATATATTTTAACCAAGTGACCCATGAAAATACTAAAACTAGAATTGATATTACCATATTTTTCAAAACGTATTATTGACAATGTGTCGTATTAAACCCTTATCATATTTTTTTCGTATCCAATTTACAAATCATTTTTTACAAACGTATTTTTCAACATTGCCGTACCATACCTGTAAAATTCTCGTATCGTTTTTTTACCGTATCCGTATTTACTAACTAGGCTTGACTATACCTGACAAACGAGCGGGTGTACCCGCGGGACGGGTACCCGTACCCACGGGCGGGTAGGGTAATACATATTTCAACCCGTGAAAAATTAACCCGTACCCGGCCGCCAGTGCTTTTACGGGTGGGACGGGTACTACCCAGGTACCCGCGAACCCGCAAATTCAAATTTAAAAAAAAAAATAAATAAAACTTATGAATGACTCTTCTCGTCCTCTCATGTCTCACTCTCAAGTCTCAACTCAAACCCTAATCTAAACCAAAATAGCAAACTTATCAAGAAAAAAACAAAAAACGCAGCACCCATTCTCTTCCCAGCAGCTCCACACCTCCACTGCCAGTCCTCTCACAGCAGCTCCACTTCCCTTACTCTCTCACTCTCACCAGCAGCTCCACTCTCCCTCATTCTTGACTTCTCTAACGGCACAGCAACAGGTCACGGCAGCAGCAGCAAGTCATGGCAACAGCAAATCTCACTCACGTAGCACCAGCACGGCAGCAACAGTCTCCTCTCACGGCAGCAGCAGGCGCCAGCAGCAAGGTCACGGCAACGCAACAGGTCACACAACACGCAGATCTCACTCATGGCAGCACCAGCACGGCAACATCAGTCTCCTCTCACGGCATCACACACAACACGACAGCAGAGGCAACATCAGGTCAGTGTGGTCTCTTAATTCAAACCAATCTTGTAGAGACGAATTGAAAGTTTGAAACTGAAAGAAGAAAGACAAATCTTGCATGACAAAAAACTGCTCTATAGGCTGTAATAATTTTGAAGACACTACTGGGACCTTTATTTGTTCAAAGAAAGTGCTCTTAGGCCCGATAGTTAAAGAGAACTTTTTGCTATTGTCTCTCTTTTTCCAGGGTTAGCTTATGGATGTGGTTGCTAAACATTTTGTAGTTGACTATTTGGTTTTGGTTTTCACGGGTGACCCTCGAATGACCGTGCCCGCACGACGAGTAACGGATCATGAAAATGTCACCCCGCGAGAATTTCACCCGTTAACTCGTGACCCGCTGCTACCCGAACCATACCCGCCCAACCCGCCCGTTTGCCAGGTCTAGGCTTGACACAACAAGAAAATCAGCTATGCAGGAAACTCGATAAATCCAAAAGGAATGTCTTCCTCCAATACTAGCAACACTAAATTAAAAAGACAACTTCAAAATCCCAATATACTTACAAATTTACAGATGAAGATGATGTGAAATATATAATAATAACAATTTAATCACTTACCTCCAGCATATTACTCAGTGTTGTAGAAAGCAAAAACGTGAATGATTGTAGTGAGTATTTGAGCATGTTCTTCTAGCTTATGCCTCCGAACCTTTCTCCCTTTTGTATTTACGTAATATCATTTTGATAGAGAAAATAAATATTTATATATGGCTAGGCTAACAGCTAAATAACTCTTATTAACGCTTTTAACCTCCTATCAAGGATCAAAAAAGGTAATTAATAACTCCTTTAAACCACCGTGAACTGGATAATTGTGGCATGTAGCCACATCAAGTCTTACAGATGAAACGACTCTCATATAAGTTTTCACTATAAAATCCAGGGGAGCCTTCCGCCAGGATATGGCATTCAGAGTGAAATCGCCTGAATAAGGCGAACACGCCATCTCCAGAAGAATCTCAGGAAAGTCAGAAACGGTCACGAGCAACCAAGCCTTTTAATGCTTTGTCCTATAAAGGTAATGACGATCAATTTAGAGAGACAAAAAAAAAAAAAAAAAAAAAAAAAAAAAAAAAAAAAACTGCTCCCGAAAAGTATACCAGTCAGCAGTAGCCAAGTTGGATAATCTTTCATAACCCAATGAAAGTTCAGTAACACTACGAAACATACTTTGACTACACTTTCAATCGTTTGACGAGCTTGCACCTCACCATCGTTTGAACCTCCAGAGGAACAGAACTACCAAGACAGGAAAGAGATAGATACAGATCGATAGAACAAGAACATTACAATGCAATAGTAGTAACATAATATGAAATAGTGACACTCTGCTGAATGCATACCATGAAAGCTGGTCTCTTCTTTTGGCAGCAATATTTGAAAGCGTGGAAAGATACTTCAAGCTGCTAGGCTGCTCATCAAACTATTATCCTATTCATACATAGAAAGATCTGAACAAATAAATAAAATAATTTTGCTTATATCAACTGCATTTATAAACATAGATCAATCAAATGTAATAGTATACTAGAACAGTACAAAGTTATATAAATATGGCAAAGTAAGAACCTTATCATTTTCTTTTTTAGAAAGCACCCTAATCCTGGACTTTTTGCCTGGTATACTTCATCCATACGCGTGTCAATGTATCTTGATTCGCAATAGGTCTGGTTCTTAAGCCCATCACCCACTTCACTAGTATTACTGAGAAATACAAAAAAATTCAGTGAGTTACTAGCTCAAAAGAGATAAAGAACTGTGGAATTTTTACTTGTAGAACCAAGTAAGGAGCAGGAGATTCATCTACAAGCCCTATGCATTACCCTCTTCAACTGTTCTCCCTGTCCAACAAATTTTCCAAAATAAAAAATTTTGCATAATGTTTTACAAAGCATCTTGAGAGCTAAAGTGCGATTAGATACAGCTAAAAAGTCTTTCTCTAAAGTTCACCTAAAGGTAGGAACCATCAAACTAAATAATATAAAATTCCTCGCTCTATAAATTATGAAAAGTGTCATCCTGTCGTGATAATTGGCTAACTCTTCCTTAATTGACTTAATAAAATATCCTCCAAAGTAGACCAGAAGATGGAAGATAATAGTCCCAAAAACATAAGACCATCAGCTTCTAAAAAGGCAAGAGAGAGGAGAGAGTGAATGGATCTAGACATCAAAAAACTGAAATAGAGAATCAAAACTGACCAGAGCTAAAAACCATGCAATACTAGGCATTGTCACAATGTGGACATGCAAAAATTAGAACTTTTTGACCAAATGAAAATTCAAGGAAAAAAAAAACCTCATAACGGGATTGTTATTATGTCATATCAAAAGGGAGCAAATCAAAACAGGTTTAAATGAGACTGACATCCAATGTGTGCATCAATCTACACCTTATTTTCATTTTCAACATCAAAGGTTTAATCTATAATGCAGGCCAGACCACAGCTGTTACAGTAAATATCTATAGATCCTCAATATATTGAAATATGATCCAACTAGAATCAATTCATGCACTAAAAAATTTTAACGAGCAAATACTAGGGGGGTTTCTAATATAAATAGGCAAAAATATGAAGCAAGAGTAACTAAAATTTTTAGAAAATGCCTTCAAGCAGTTGATGCTTAGTGAGGACACAAAAATAGGTGCATGGAAAGACGTGTGACAAAAATATCAAATCTCTTTGATCTTTGCGATTTCTTAAGAGAAGGTGGGAAAATGACGGCTGTGATACATAAATAAATCACTTACTCATTAACAATAGCTGATGAGCATCTACCTTGATTTAAAAAGTTAAGCTAATATTAAGAGGAGCAAAAATGTTTAAACTGGTTATTATCCAATATCACCACCAATAACTAAAGAAGATGGAACCAAGAAGATAAATCACCACAGTCAAGTCCCTAATGATTCACATACTACATGTCTCAGACTGTTTTCATCTGAGAAAACCAAAATTAAATGTAGATAAATGGCCCTTTTTTCTTTATATTTAAAGAAAGCAATTAATGAGGCAAGACATGCAACAGAACAAGTGTATGAGTTCAGAAACTTACTCTAAGCTCTGATGGAGTCTTCCTTTTCACTGTTGAGCCCATCTTGAGGGAACCTCCACCAATTTGATGAGAATTAGAAGGTAAAGTACCACGAGTAGCAACCTTTGCCATACTGTAACCTCAAATATTACGAATGAAAACTCTTAAACAATAAAGTGCAGCCAACTGCCATTGACCAATGCGGCTGTCAAGTAGGCAACACTATTATCACTGATTATTGCATCTTTTTCCCCCTGCAGTCAAACATATAATTTTACGTTGCCTTGTATTTTCAAGTCATATGAACAAAAATAAAAAGGTAAGAAGTAAATTCAAGAAGCAACGTTTGAACAGATGCAGAAGAGGGGTTTTTCTAAAATTGCAGAAAGGTAGATTGCATTGCGATTAATGACCTAAATGGCAATTACAAGTTCTCAGATTACTAAAACTCATAAATTGCAGCCGCAAGTCTTCACACTCCTAGTGATTTTAACCAACAGAATATTTGATTACTGAAAAAACTCCAGAATCTCAAACTTCTTCAGTTCCTTTAACAATAAAAACTCATGAATTCATGTGACACCAAGGAAGAGCAAAAAGAACAAAACAGGGCCAATTAAACACATGGCATTCAACTTCAGAGCTATCCAACCACTCAAAACTCAAAAAACCACCAACAGCAACTCACCTCCAATATTTTAACTAGAAAAAAAAAAGGCAATCAACAGTAATCCATAAAAAATAAAAAATAAAAACCATCTCACTTGCACCTAACAAGGCAAATCATCAAACAACAGAAATGCACTCTCTAATCTTTCAGTCTCAAAATTGCATTACTCAAGATATCGATTCAGTCAACCCTTGATCCTTTCAATCGAACACACAAACCCTAAAATTACATTTCCAACAACTATTTTCTTCCAATAAAATCAATAGAATCACAGCAAAACAAAAATCACAATTCCAACGTCTTCAACGACTAACTGTACTAACCTAATTAAAATTTACGAAGTCTAATGACCAGAAACACAGACATAATCATCACTTAGAAGAGATGATTCAAATACTATTTGAATATATAAGTAATTAAAACACTAGTAAAATAGAATAGAAGAATGCGTTACCTCAGCGAAAAACGAACTTTCTCGAGAAAATGATCGAGAAAAGAGGCGAGAAAATAACAGTGAGCCCCAATCTAATTTCGAAGGCTAGGTCGGATTGGATTTCGATTGATTAGATTTAGGGCGAAATCACCATGAGAGAGAGTGTGCAATGTGTCGAGAGATTGCGGTAAAATAGCGTGAATTTTGAGTTTTTAATTTTGAAAAATTCGTTTCCCTCCTCTGTATATTGACGCCGTTACTGTCCGTTAAATGCGACACCCGATTTGGAAACTTATGGAAACTCTTTTGGGCCTATTCAGCCCATAAAAGGCTTATTATATAAAACCCAAAGTAGTGTTATTTCAGGCCCAGTAAACCTCCATAGGAGCCCATTATTGATTGTTTTAAAATTAAATATTTATTTTATTTTGAAATTACCAAAAAGGATATAAGAGATATTGACTTTTTTGAACTCAAAACAGGTGGTTTCCTCTAAAATCTAAAACTGTATTTTCCATCTCTTACACCATCAATAATTAGAATTCTATATATTTTTTCTTTTTATTAAGATATCATATTTTTTTATTATATTTGTGAATTACAAGGTATTGAAAAAGGTTATTTAGGATTTCATTATTATAGATTTAAAATTAATTTTTTAATTTTTTTTTTTTATAATGGAAATTTAAAAGGAGTTTAGAAGGGATTTAAATAACATCACTATAAAATCAATCTAAAACCAAAGTCAAATATAAATTCAAATCCATCCCCCTCCTATTTTAGAACATATACGAGACAATCTCGCAATTTTATTCTATTAGTATGTCAAAATTATGTAATAAAATAATGTTATATGTTGTTACATAATATATGATTTTTAAAATTAATAACAATCTCACAAGTAGACTTGGCAAACAGGTACTGCACCCACAGGTCCATTCTTACCTAGGTAATTTTTGCGATTACGAGTTAATATATTTAGGACCTTAGTGCACAATACTCGTACGGTTTTGAATTGGGTTTAGATTTGCCGTTACCAAAAATCCATTTGCATTGTTGACTTAAAAAAAGGGATTTAAGTAATGTTTAGACCATCATCTTTGTTTATTGTCAACTTAATGCTTAGTCGTTTGTCTATTGATGTGGAAGTTGCCTATACTGGTGGCTTCAATTAGGTAATTAGATCATAAATGTGATTAATCGATGATCCATGAAAAAACATTATAATATCAGTAGATATTTGATGATATTTTCTTATTTCTTTCTGTTTTAAGATGACCAAATAACCTTTATTACATTATATATTAAATGATATTTTCTTTAAAAAGTAAAAACATATTTGGGAAAAGGGTGACCCGCAGGTCCACCCATACCTGTATGACCGCGTATGGATTCTGTATTCTCTTACCCGTTTACATTCTCAAACTCGTCTTTACTCGGCCCATACCTGCCCGTTTGCCAGGTCTACTCACAAGTCATATTTTATGTTTAACTCTCAAAGCATATTCTTACTAGAGCGTTTGAATAAGTCAAATTAAATTAAATAAATTCTTAAATTGATTATAATATGTAACTCTCTTTGTCTTCTAAAAGATTCAACTCCTTATTTTACACATATATATAAAATATAATTTAAAGCGCAAATCGTAAGTCAAAATTGACCCGATCACAAGCTAAAAACTATAAATCTAATTATTCTTTTTATAGTATAAATTATAATTTTATAAATTTAAATTGGTAATTATCTGGATACTCTTTAAATGTTGTTGATAAGGGAGAATTAATATATATAGGCTACGTAAAATGCATATAATTTTCTTGAACAAAGTAGTATTAAAACACTGAAACTTTATTGTAAATGCAGTTAATCTCAACAATGTTAATCAAATATAAACTAACTGTATTAACCTTCAAATTTACCCCTAAATGTCATGTTTTGTGAAGATTTTGACTTCTTAAGAGTGTTTATATGGTTGAAGAAATTTTGCCTTTATTTTTTCTATAATAGTTTATTGTCTCCGTAAATTTTGGACTTTGACTTCTAAAGAGACATTGTCTGGCTATGTTATTTAAATCTCGTTCGAATTCATTGGCTTTTGAGCAGAAAAATTAGTCAGCCAGGCCTAGCCATCAAGCTATGCTTCATCCTCTTTATTGACTTTGAGGAAAATAAAAATTAAAAACCACCATGGGTGGCCGCACGGTCAATTATGACTCTTCAATGTATTATTTAAGAGGTCTTAAATTGGATTCATCTCACCCCTCGGTTTCTAATAGGGGTGGCCATTAAAGGCTTACCCAATCGTTAACTTTAGGGTCTTGGGAGATTAGTTGAGATACGCATATGTTAGCCTGGATATCCCCAGTCATCAAAAGAAAAAAAAATCAATGAGAAAAAGAGAGTTCCTTATAAATAATAAAATCACTGCACCAATCAGCAAGATCGGATTGACCTTGCTAGGATCAAAACTGATGTGTGTGTGATTAAGAATAATCAGCAATGTATGTAAAAAATGCAATAAAGTAAAGACACTGAGAGTTTTAAAGTGGTTCGGCGAGATTAACTCTGAAGCTTACATCCACTGTTTTTGTATTTGCTGTGAGAGTATACAATATAGTTCCTATGTGAAATTCGTAACCCCTTCCTCCTCGTTTGAGGGGGTTTATATATAAGATTTGTACAAAGAAAAGAGCGAAAATAAAGGGATTACAATTAATCTGAATCGTAATTCTGGTATTCTCGCGATTAGGCGTTGTGATTGCATAGTGATCGCAGTTGATCTAGTCATTCTCGTAATATTTGAGATCTGAAATAATCTGGAGGTTAATTGAATGATTCATTGAACTTTCACGACTAGCTTATGCTGGGTCGAGCGATCAATCATTGTTGTCAAGCTCATGCTGGGTCAAGCTATATCCTCACGTTGGCTCGAGCTTGGCGACACACAACATCTGTCCCCTAGTGTTCGATGCTCACTTCGGGTATCGAAGACTATTGCTCGATTTGATGCCAAGCTCGGCTTCAATAGTGAATCTCTGAGTGCATGTCCGAACGGGCTCCTATGGTCGACCTTACACTTGGCCGACATACCTCACACCTGGATCTCCCATGGTACCTATCAAAATTCAGAATATGAAAAGTTAGGTTATAAAGATAATTTCCATGTGGTCATGTCGCATTAAATGTGGCAGCCTTTGTCAATTACGTTTCGTCGCACGTGGGTGATGACAGCTGTTCACGTGTGAAGTCAAGGTGACAGTTATCATTACTGCAATCTGACGGTTCATCACTCCCTGTGGATGGTCGACATGTGGCAATGTCCAAGGGCCAAGATTTCTTGATAAATGAAGGGTGAGGATTGACTTTAAGTCGACGGCCATGATTAAACCCCGCCCTTTCATCTTCCATGCAAACCACAATAAAAGATGGCAAAAAAACCTCAGAATAGTCACTCCAAAAGTTATTCTAACTTTCTTGCTGCTCTCTGCTATTGCTTTTGAGTTGTCGCGGTGGTCTTTCTCATGAGTTCCTGGCACTTTCCCCATTCCGATCAGGCTTCTCTCCCTTATTCTCTTTTGTTTTTCTGATTTTTGCATCCAAGGGTGGCTACTGTAGCAGCCATATTGGATGTGTTAAGGTTTTAGTAGGGTTTTTTGGTTGCGTCTCTGGCGGTCTCGGGCTGGTTGCATATTTTTGCCGTATTGTGCAAGCTATCTCAAGTGCTTGAAATAGAAGCAAGTGTGGAATGGTCGTCGGTTTGTTTGAGCTCTAACACATGTTTGCTTTTTTTTTTTAGGTACCTAGAGTCGAGTTACAACCATGTCATCGTCTAGCAGTCGTACAATAGATCAAATTTTTGATTCCTCAGTAGGCTCGACAGCCTTTGGGGATGTGTTCCCTGAGGTCTCTAAAGAATTTGTCGCTCGAAGCTCAGACCTTGATGCTGCGGGCTTGTCCAATCGTGCTTCGATTCAACTAGCCCAATCTCTACTGTTTCCAGTCCATAGGCTACGAAAAGAACCACAATCCTCAATTACCCTCGGGGACCTCAAATGCATAAGGGCGGTCTACGCGCCGCAACTTAACTTAATGGTTCCAGGGGAATATTCTCAAAAGAACCCCGCACTTGGATGAGTAGCTACCTCCGAGACTTCCCTTAGGTGTGGAGTATCCATTCCCTGCATTACTTCATCAACAACGTACTGAAGCAATTCAACATTGTTCCTCTTCAATTGATGGCCATCTCTTACATGATCATTATCGCGATGTACATCGCGTACATGATCGCTAAATTGGGTGAGCCATCCATCAAAGAGCTCGTCTACTTGTACAGGCTCAAAAAAGGGCAGGACTAAACATACTACCTTTCCACAGTGAGGAGAGTACATTTTAACAGATTGATCGATGTTCCAAAAAAAGTTTCACAGTTCTTTTTCTACAAAGCCCGAGAGACCCGTGTCTTCGCTGCGGAAGCGAGTGAGGCTCAAGCTTCCCATGTACGTGTGAGGATTATTCTCGAGTTGTAAATTCTAATTGATCCTCCTGTTTGTTTTTGCAGTAGCAGAGTTATCTTCCATCACAAGTTATAGAGGCTGCGGCGTTTTAGCGATCTTTTGAACAATCAGCGCAATATCAATGAGCTTTTTATACTTCCTCACCTGAAAGCGTACTGCTTCTATCGGGACGAAGCCAATTTCTTAGTACTTTTGGTGAAAGGTAAGTTGTTATTTGCTCGCGCTTGCTTTCCCACGCAAAATAGATTGCTAATTCTCTTGCCTTTTTTCCTTGCAGAAATGTGGGCCGAAAAACTGAAAAAGAAGAAAGAGGCTACCCTCGCGACTGCTACGAAGGCTCCAACTACTTCAGGGATGAAATAGCCTGTGAAAACTGTTGGTTTGAAACGCGCTAGTGGCGAGCTTGGGGGAGGCCCAAGTGCGAAGAAACCCGCGACTACCACTAAGGCGGTTGGCGGGAAAAGCATTATGGAGCCTCGAAAGGGGCTAGTGAAGAAGGCATCCGAACCAATTGGAGGTTCAAGAAAAAATAAAGCACCTGAGTAGAAAATTGGCTCGGGCTAAGAGGTCGCCACGTAAGCTGGCGATCTTCGAAAGGAAGTAGCCAAAGGCTTGGCCAAGAAGAAAACCGCTCCTGCTAGTGAGACAGGTGC